TCCAGGTGAGAGGGGACAGGGTGGTGTGCAGAGTCACACGGGGGAGGGGGCTCCAGGTGAGAGGGGACAGAGTGGTGTGCAGTCACATGGGGGACCCAGGTGAGAGGGGACAGGGTGGCGTGTAGTGTCATGGATGGGTCAGTCTGGCACATGCCATCCCAAGGGGATGAGCTTGGGGCAGTTTGGGGACAGGGACAGGAGAGCAGGACAGCCAATGGGGCATGACTGGGTGGGGAGGCAGCGCCCAGGGAGACAGGAGGTCCAGGCGCAGCAGCCCTTCAGAACGGCCTCCCTGTGGGCGCAGTAAGCCTGGACTCAGTGGGCCCTGCAAGTAGCCCTCCTTCCTGCCCCCCACCTGAGCTGGGATACCTGTCCCCCCAGAAGCTGCTCATCAGCATCCTGGTTCTTCTGCCCCCGAGACCCTCCTGTTCATGAAGGAGGCAAACCCACGCGACCCAGCCTGCACAAGGCCCCACTGGAGCTGCCCAGCCAGGCCCAGGCTCTGCCTGGCTCCCCTGAGGTTTCCCACCTTCTCACCTCCACCCACCACCTCGGGCTTGGACTCTATGGTGACCACAAGGTCACCCACCTCTTCTGTTCAACGCCCTGCCCCACACTCATGCCCTCCAGGCTCCCTCCTTAGATCCTCGGCTCAGCCCGGCTCCAGAGTCCCCAGGGGCACCTGCCTTCCACCTACAAGCACCGATTCCACCACCCCCCGCCCCAGCTGGCCCCGACTCCAGCTGCTGCCACCTGAGTGCGGCCCCCCGAGATCCAGCTCTTCGTGTGCACCTGCCTACCATGGACGCGGTGGGCTACGCTGCATGCCCGAGCCTCGCCTTCCTCTCCTCTCCTGCTGGGAGGCAGGGAGGCTGGCTAGGTGGACAGTGAAGCCCACACCTGACAGCAGGGACCCAGGCTGGTGTGAGTGTGGTCTGTGAGTGGCTGCAGGCACATCGGCCGTCCGAATGTGGGCATCACCCAGAAGCTCCTGCGACACCCGTCCCCACACTCCCCTCTCCAGATGTTAGTGTGGCCTCTCCAGAGCCACGGCCTGCCCTGCCCTCTCCCCCATGCCCACAGCCCTGCAGCCCCTCAGTGCCCTGCTTTGTCCCCTACGTGCTTCAGCTCCCCAACCCCAGTGGCAGGTGTCTCCAGACACCTAGCACCTTCCACATAATCACTGCCCAAAATCCTGCCCCTACTCACTAGTGGACAGCCGTTCAGGCCTGAGCACCCCTGAGAAAGCTGCTGTGGTCTGGAAGCCTGGGTCCCCAAACACCAGATTCTAAAATCCTAGCCCCAAGTGCTGGTGTTGGGGGGTCTGAGCCTCACGGGTGAGACTGGTGCCCTTATTAAAGGGAACCTGCCTGTCCCCCACCTTGAAGACACAGCAAGACGACGTCACCTACAAAGGTGAATCTAAGGACCTGCCCTTGGTCCTGGACTTCCCACCTCCAGAGCTGTGAGAAAACCCTGCAGCCCCTAAGTTGCTTGCTCATGGGGTTCTGCCCCACCAGCAGAGTGACCAGGCCATCTTCCTCACGCCAGGCCAGCAGGCCCTCGGCTCCCTCGGCTCCCCTGCAGAATGCCGTGCTCAAGCCCATGGTCTGACTCCCTCCGCTCCAAATGCCCTCCAGGGAGGACCCTCTGCAGCACCCTGCACCCCACCCCTGCACAGAGCCCTGCCCAGCCCGAGGAAAGCTGCACTGGCTAGGCGGCTGAGAGCGTGCCTGACCCACTGACCCGGGTGGCCAGTGCCAAGGAGACGCTGCACACCAGGCTCCGAGCCAGGCCCCCTGTGTGCAGACTCCACGCAGGCTGCCTCCCCTCCGGTCAGCGCGAGTCTTCCCTCTACCTTGGGCCTCCGTAATTTGAGAATATCTACCTATTAATTATTCTTTTGCTCAAGGGCACCTGCTGCTTGTCAGCTTCACACTGAGAAAATCCAACCAGTATGCCACAGAATTAAATTTTTAATTAAGATTAGTTTGTCTTCCCTGAGGAAGAAAATGCTCCGAGATCAGGCCCTGTTCAGGCCGCGCCTTCTCTGCAGGCAACACCCCGTTCTCCGTGTGCTCACGGCAAGGCCCATGCACCCCTCGGAAGGCCTCGCCCATCAACTCTGGGGTGCGGGGCACGGGGTCTCTCTTGGTTCTCACGGCTGCAGGCATCTCACAGATGGTTGTGAGCATTATTTTAATTTGAAACACCAGTGGAAACTAACAGTTGTCCATGGAAAAAAATAAGGAGGAGACGTTGGCAGGTCCATGGGGCACTGTGGCCACCGGCCCCTGATGTCAACGGGAAGGAGGGATCAAGCACGTCTGGACTGGCAGGCTTCATGGGGAGCAGCAAGGCCCTGCAGGCGGCAGAACTGAGAGCGAGGCAGGCAGCGGTGCAGACCTCAGGCCTGACCCCGCTGCTCCCGCCTCCCTGCCTCAGCAGGAAGAGAGGCACGCAGCCTCTGACTGCTTCCTCTAGTGCCCCACGCTCACCTGCCAAACGTGGATTTGCTGAAAGGGAAATGGAGGCTTTAGCGAAGGTCCCCATTGGGAGTTCAAGGAAAACACAACAGGAATGACAGACTGCCCACTGAGGCCCTCTGCAGCCAGATGTCCCTGACACACGCGGGCAGGGGCACGGGCCTGCACCGCCTGGCACCAAGCCACTGTACCGAAGGCAACTGGTCACGGACGATCTGACCACCACACAACCCCAGAAAGCCTGAGGCGTGCAACCACCGCTCTTGAAGAGTGGGCAGACACTGAGCTGTGTTCTCTGACGGGGGGTCTCAGAATCACTGCAAAACTGGCACCGACAGTTCACTGCAGGCTGCTGTTACGTCACCTCGTGGCTGTGCTTGAGAAGCAGGGCTCCTCGGGTGCTGACCTCAAGGCCACCTGTCCTGGGGTGCTGCACAGGGGCAGGAAACAATGCAGCACTGTGGATACACAGAGTGGCCACACAGAACAAAGGGGGCTTCTTTTCCAGGGCCCGTGACAAAGAGCTGGCAGCCCTGCCAGGGTCCCCACATCCATGCACAGCTCCGGGGCTAGACCCTTCCTCAGACCTCTGACATTGGCCTATCCGTGAGAGGTGGCCACCTGGCAGTGAGCCCACACTAGCCTGAGGAGCTACCCTTGGGGAAGGAGCTGCCCTGCCTGCCCTTCAGTGACGCCGTCTCCAAGCCTGAGCACTGAGCTGCAGAAACCACAGGCTTCTTGGGTAGCAAGCATCCCCCATGGTGGCCTGGTAAGAACCTATACCGCCCTCAATCACCAGGACAGGGCCAAAGGAAGCCACTTCCACCTGACGCGTGGCCACCACAGCCACGCAGCTGCTTCAACCAAAATGAACCAAGCCTAAACCAGGCCATCACACATGGCTCCTGAGCCACAGTACAGTCCCTGAAAGGCCGCCCAGGGCAGAGGCTGCTTGTCAAGTCAGGGCAGACACAGAAGGTTCTTCCAGGCAGTGCTGGGCAGGACTTACGGAGGGCATGTCGTCTTAAAAACTACTGGAAACACCATTGCCACCCTGTGTCACCCCCTGGACAGGTGTCTCTGGAAGGTCCTCTGTAGGAATGGCGCTGTGCTGGGGACAGTGGTTACACAACTGGTCCCCGTCCCATGCACAGCTTGGGTGGGCTCACGCCCCACCTCTCGAGGGCCCCCACACCCGTGGTCTCCTGGGAAATAAACCACTGAAGCCAGAAAGAGCCACTCACCACTTTGAGCTCTGGCACCGATCGACTCAACGTCCACTCCTGGCTGTTCACGAAGGCATCTGCAAGAGAAGACAGAGACAAAGATCAGGCTGCGGCCCCCTCCAGCGCGCATCGGTGCCCGGCATGCCAGCTTCCACCAGAGCCAGCGGCTCTGGGGGCCTGCAAGCTGGGCCTGGCTCTCTGCAACAGACCCAGCCTCAGGCAGCTGTGGTTTGCAGTCTTTCTGCTAAACAGTCGCTTTTCTGAGATCCCACCCAAAAAGCTTCGAGGATGGCGAGCGTGGAAACCTAGATGCTGCAGACAGGCGGCACTCAGGTCTGGAGCACTCTGCTGGGTGCCGGAGTCTTGGCCAGGGAGAGGAGGGGACCTGGACCTGGGGGGCTCTTTGAAGTGGTGCTTGCTCCCCACCCAGGAAGCTCACTCGGGTAGCTCTCCTGACCTGCCCAGTAGAGATGACCCCACTGGGGGGTCCCCTGGCCTGCCCAGTACAGATGATCCTCCACTGGCCATGACCCCTGGTGAGCAGGATCCCACAGTCGCGCCCACGTGGCGGCTCCCTTGGCCACTCAGAGCCGGGGAGGCAGCAGTGGATGCAGGCCATCTCTTTCAGTGGGATGCCCTCTCCAAACTTTTCCCTAATGTTGGAATCTGCTCACCCTGCACTGTCCAAAAGTTCTCAAGCCCTCCACAAAATGCCTCAAGGGCAAGAAAAGCCATCCCTTTCAACCAGATGTGCTCAGAAGGGGTGGTGGTACCCTGCAGGCCTGGCCCGCAGTCCCCTTAGGAGAAGGATGGAGAAAGGCAAGGCCGGCTTGGCCAGGCAGGCCAGCACCCATGGTCTACGGGATGTGGGAGGGCACCCACACCACTGCCACTGTCCCCCAGAGCTGAGGGCTAGGACGCCCATCAAAGGGAGGCCCTGCTTGTGGGAGGAGCCGATGGAGATGACAATAGGCTGCCAGGGGCATCTAGTGACTCTCAAGGTCACTGAGCTGGCAGGGATGAGCTCAACAGCAGAGGCACGGGCTGTGGGGCACAGAGTCCAGCAGGTGGTGGGTGGGCAGAGGTCTGTAAGGAAGCTGGAGAGATGGGATGCCTGGGAGGTGGACTTGTCCCAGCACTGCCTTCAAGATGTCCAGTCCACACTTCCCCCATGGAAGTAGACAGGGTGGGGGCTGACAGTGGGGGGGGAGCAGTTCAATTGTGCTCTTCAACACCCACTCCATGGTGGCCGCACACCACCGGAACACGCCCAGGGATCAGCTGGGAACCATGAAGTGAGGACCATGACAGCGCAGGCCTGAACTCAGGGGATGGTAACTAAACATCGGTCACCAACTGCTCTCAGGGAAACGAGAAGGCGGCCTCAGATGACGGGCAGGGAGACAGAAGGTAATGACAAGGACTCTCTGAATGCATGTACCAAGTGTCCAGCTGCTCAGAAAGTCCCCCTGTGACTCTGCTGTTAAAAACCTCAACAATGGTCAAGTGAACCTGGATGTATTCCTGAGATGGAATACTAATTAAGAAAACAAGACAGCTGAGTCCAGCAGGTGGTGGGGGCAGAGAGTCAGCCCCACAATCTCCAGGCTCCACTAGGTGGCGAGAGCAAGACCCACACAGTCTAGTCAGCGTTATAGTGTGCGGCGTGTGCGCGCACAACACACACGCCTGAGAAGACACTGGTAAAATCACAAACACTTGCCGACTTAGGCGAGGGAACTGGTGGCTGGGGAACAAGAGTAAGGAGACGACATTCATCGTGACCTTTGGGATTCTGATTCAGATTTTTACGCCATTTGACGTAAACGTTAAGTCACAGCTAGGCCAAGTGGCCGGCAATTCCGGCTACTCAGGAGACTGAGGCAGGAGGATCTCAAGTTTGAGGCCAACCTGGGCAACTTAGCAAGACCTGACTCTAAGTTTTCAAAAGGGTTGGGGACATAGTTCAGTGGTAGAGCACCTCTGGGTTCAATCCCTCTTACAAAACAAACCAAAAAAAAAACCTGAAATACAATTTTAAAAATGAATCTTAATAGTAGAACAAAGAGGATAAAGGGTGAATTAAACAAGCTCACTTCATTAATGCACTGCTGATTTTTAAGCATGTACCACCAGATTAAATTTATCACAACAAATATTAAATATGCATTATAAATGAAGCGGGGCGCCATTAAACAAAGACATACGATTATATAAATATTGGAACATGGTGTGGCAAGCTTTTAGTTGCAAATTTACCCTCACTTGAATAGAGTATGTTTTCTTTGTGGCAACTAGATTAATAAAATAAATGCTTGACTTAATGTTCCCCGCCAAAGCCCTCAACTTCCATTAAAATGCCCTTATTTCAAGAACTTGCCTGGCCTCCGTCTCGGCCCATTCAGAGTGGGATGCTGGTGTGAGGCTCAAGGAGAAGCAACCAAAGACCTGGGGAAAGCCCTACATACCAGATGCTTTCTCTGCCTGCTCCTGTGGGGACACTTCCGGTCACCACAGGGATTGGGGTTCCCAGGACAAAGGAAGCATGGCCCGGCCCGGAGACTCCATCACGTGGAGGACGAGGCCGGCTGCCCTACTTCACTCTGAGGCCCAAGGTGCAGCTGCACAAAACGTGCTTTAGGAACACACCTGGGCGTGTGTGTGTGCGCATGCACTGTCTGCACACATATGTGTCCCCGGTCAGCCAGGCCCCAAAGTGACAGAAGCAGCCCTGGTTTTCAAAAGAGGCCATTCCATGCCCCGTCAATGGCATGGAATATGAAGAAAGTGGCCCCCAGACTCTGGTCTAAGTACCACTGGACTAGATTCCATCGTAAGGCACAGCAGATGACCTCTGACTGCCTGCTTTGAGCCCTTTGACTCACAGGGAAGCCCAGAGCTGCACCTCGAGGTGCACGGGCTTTCCTGAGCAGTTTAGGACCAGGTACTTGGTCCTTCCATCAGCGTGGCACGACTTCCAATGCACTTGGGGTTTCAGTGCTGGAGATGGAACCCACGGCCTCACGTACACCAGGCCAGTGACTACCACTGAACTCCATCCCCAGCCTTCCAGTTACGCTTCGTCATTTAAATTCAAACACAAGCTCTTGAACAACTCTAAGATTACAGAACACGAAATAATACGCCACCCTTATCAGGAGTGAAGTCCTGACCTCCTTGTCTCTTTGGGTCAGAAGCTTGACGGCAGTCAGAGAAAACAAAGAGGTGACGGGTGCACTGAGCCCACGGGGACCCAGCCCGAGGACAGGGGGTGGGGACACCTAGGGATGTCCCAGTGGCCAAATGCTGGGGGAAATGTTCTCCATTAGAGGGAGATGCTCCACCTGATCTGGTGACCAAGATATCTGATGTCAAAGGAAAGCCCACCAAGGCCCTGTCGGACTGTCCTGGCCACAGAACCCCTCGCAGTACAGTGCCTGTTCCATGCTTAAGAAAGCCCAGCGACAAGCGCTCAGCCACCAGAAAGGCTCCTTAACAAAGACCCCCGCCTGCCACCAAGCACCAACAGCAGGAAACACAGAATTCAAACATCGGGTGGAGGGACTCCCGGGTCTTGAGTAGGTTTTTTTTCCTAACTTGTATTTTTTTTACAACAAACTTTCATTAGTCTTAAAAGTTTTGTTTGTTTTTCCTTTTCTGTGCTGGAGATGAAACCCAGGTCCTCACATGTGCCAGGCAAGCGTCCTACGCTGAGCTAAGCGTCCACGCCACCCACTGTCCTCCAAGCCTGTTGGCAGCCAGCACTCTGTGAAACTTAGCGAAGCATCAGTGCTGCAGCCTGTCTTCCTTCTCACTCACTCCAAGTCCCAAGTGAGAATGATACAGAGACAAACAGGAATCCACTGGGATAATGAATTTCAGTTGAGCCAATTCATCAGGGACCCTGTTACCAGTGCATGTGTGGCAGGAAGGCTGGCGTTACAATAATAAGGGACGAGCTCTACCTCCCTTGGTCCTGCCCCAACCTGTCCCAGGGACATCAATGCTCCAGACAGGTGTGGAAGGGCGTCCTTAGAAATCCTAAGGAGCACAGTGCAGGAAAGTCTCTCGGCAACTCAGGCGAAAATGTGATATTTCTATCACAATCTGTCTGGTTTATGGACAAAGTAATTAAGCAACGAGAAACCAAAGCCTGTGAGCACTTCAGAAGGAACTGCCTCTGTACATGGCATGCTGGGCGAGACGCACAGAAACAGCAGCGTCCCCTGTTCTGTGGCTGAACATGGTGGTTCTGAGGATCATTTCCTGAGAGCCACTTTGCCAGGGTCCCCAGGCCCCACAGTAGTTCTCAGGGCCACCCCACTGCCCCAGATGGCACAGTCGCCTGGGGAAGGGCCCCCAGCAGGGCCAGGTTCTCAGTGCCCCCTCTTCACCTGCCCTGGGCTCGTCTGGACACCTTGCAAAGCCACCCACAGGAGACATCTGTGAGATTCAGCAATCAGGGTCCTGGAATCTGCATTTCAACAAGCCCCACCGGCCTCCGAGGCTCACTCATTATGACCCTGTGGACCTCACAAACACAGACCAGGACGTCGGGATTTCTCAGGGAACCTAAGAGAGCACAGGCAGACCGGGAGGTGGCACCCCGAGGTGGGAGCTAAGGGTCCTGGGTCTTGAACTCTGACCACCAGGAGAGCCCTGCTTCTCTTGGCTGCCCTGCTCACTGTGGCAGAGACACCAGTAGTGGGTAGAGGAGAATCAGTGAGGGAGCAGGGACCAGGAGGCCCAGGCTTGTTGGTGACCTTGGGTGACCTTGCTGGTCTTTCTGAGGCCCAGCTCCCTTGTGATAGATGGGAATGGTTCTCTCCTGTGAATGCCATGAGGTTTCTAGGAGAGGCGGCGGCCCCCAGAAAGGGCCCACCTATCCACGGGGAGCATCACTGACAGCGAGGCTCCTGATGCCTGCTTCCCAAGTGCCCTGGCTGACGGAGACACGGGGGTGTGCACTGCTGGAGCTCCCTGTTGTGGGGGGGCCTCACAGGTGGGCCTGACATGCACCACGTGACAACCCTGACGCAGCAATCGCCCTGCAGCTGCGGAAACCGCCCTTCAGTGA